GGAAATATTCGTTTGTCGGCTTCGGAAATGTTGACACTCATTAGGTATTTACCATTGCTTGTGGGACATGAAGTTCCAAGAGAAGATCAAGTCTGGAAGTTGTATCTGTCTTTGAGACAAGTTGTCGAGATTTTATTGAGTCCAATTTTGTTGAACGGGACTGCTCTTTACTTGCAAACATTGGTAGACGAGTTGAATGAAATTTATTTGGAAGTGACAAAAACCAAGTTGAAACCAAAATTTCATAATCTCGTTCACTACCATTCAGCTATATCGAAATATGGTCCTGTCGTTCATTTATGGTCAATGAGATTCGAGGCGAAACATAGGCTATCTAAAATGGCTGCTAGGGCCTCTAGTAACAGAATAAATATAACCTTATCTTTAGCTATGAAACAACAACTTGCATTGAATGAAATTTTTATGAAAGGGAAACTTAGCAACGTACTTTCGACAGGGCCCAAACACAATGATTTGTCACTGTTCGACAAAGTTTTCTTGACAAGGGAGTTATCTTTAGACAACAGTAAGTTATTGCAACGGATAAATTGGGCTGCAATGTCATCAGTACGTTATGATAAAGGCTGTATACTTGTCTATGATTCCAAACCACAAGGCGACTATGATGACGTAATTTTCACGGTTGTTGACAAATTATACCTTTATGATTCCACTCAGTTAATTACACAGGGGAACAAAAAAAATAAAAATGTCTGCGGCACTAATTTTATTAATGAATTTTATAAACACTGGTATTTGATATACACTATATGCATTTAGTTTTTTTGGATTGATTCTGGTTCTTGGGATAAACGAAACGTAATAAATCAATGCAAAATTTTAAACTACCCTTCTAAAGTTGTATTTATTTGAATATTTCCAACTAAGTTTGGTTATCTATTTATGGATTTAGTAGTAAACATTTCACTGATCAGCTATTAGACCGAAATTATCAGTTCGTCTTATTTGCATTGGAGTAAAAAGGATTAGCCTTTGCGCGAAAAAGGTAGGAAAATCATATGTGATTCATGAACCACTGCTAAACCGAAAAAATATCCTTTTTCCACCACTTCACATCAAGCTCAGGCTAATGAAACAGTTCATCAAAGCCCTTGATAAGACGGGTGACTGTTTTAAGTATGTGTGTAAAAAATTTCCAGCGCTAAGTATGGAAAAGTTGAAAGCGGGCATCTTCGATGGACCTCAAATCCGAACACTTATAAAAGACACTGAATTCGTGAACTATATGACACAAATTGAATCTGAGGCATGGTTAAGCTTTGTTTTAGTAATCAAAAATTTCTTAGGGAATCATAAAGCTCCAGACTATGCAAAACTAGTCACTAAAATGCTTCAAAATTTTAACAAATTAGGAGCTAATATGAGCATTAAAGTGCACTTTTTGCATTGTCATTTAGATAGATTCCCGATAATGTGGGCGATTACAGCGAGGAACAAGGAGAACGGTTCCACCAGGACATTAGGGTCATGGAAGAAAGATACCAAGGTCGATGGGACCGCCACATGATGGCAGACTACTGCTGGACCTTAGTAAGGGATTGTCTTGAGCAGAACCATGGCAGAAAATAGAAAATTAAATTTCGTCAGATATTTTTGTTTTTGTTTCATTCCTAAAGATCAACTTAATAAAAGTATTTTTTCAGTGCAAATTGGTATTTTTACTAAAATTTTTTGATTTAAATAGTTAATAGTTTTTATCTCAAAAACTGGAGCCAATTTTACAAATCTGATATTTTTCCAGTATTCAGCACACTAGTCTGATACAGAATTGACTTCAATCTGCCATGCCGCAAAATTACTGTTCCCCAGTGTTATCAGTGGTGTTACATTAGATACTATTGAATTTGATGATCATTTATGTACATTCAAAGTTAAGAGACCGCATATAGATAACAACATTGCTATTTTCTATGACAGTCTTCCATCACAAACTCCACACACTTTAAATATTCATTCCGATGGCAATTATTATGTAACCTTACGAAGTCCTTTGTGAAATTAAATAAATTAAGGAAGTTTGAGTTAACGTAGTTATTTAATACTTTTCTTTTGGCGAGTATTAAATTTAAATAACAAGGTTAACTCCAACTTCGTTGATTTATTTAATCAACAATATTTAATGGAGAAATATATATAACATATCCTTTGTGAAATTTGTTATAATTATAATGTTGTATTGTAAATCATAATTTAATATAGGAATATTATGTAAGTTTTTGATATAAAATAATTACTTTTAGGTATACTACTAAAAAATTTAATTAAAAATGTGTGTTAAGGAAATATTTTATTTTGGAATTTTTCTTTATTCTATTTTATTTACATTTTAAATTTCACAATTTATTATAGGAATATTACCTATGTATAAGTTTTTGATTTTAGGTACTCTTCTAACAAATATAATTTAAGTTTTGTGTTAAGGAATATTTTATTTCGGCATTTTTGTGTGCATATTTTTATACTTATTTTATTTCATTTTTAATTAGTTTTGTTTAAGTTTTTTATGCACATTACAAATAAACGCTCCATAATGACATTAGATATTCTATTTGTTTTTTGCGTCGCCCATACGTTTTCCATTAAACCTATTCTTCTCTTCTGCTCATTTACATGTTATTCCGGCTATTTTATTTCACTGTTGGTATTTTCTCACTGACGTATGATTGAATAATTCGCCAATGAGAAAATACCAAGTAGAGAAATGAGAAAGCTGGAATAACAGAGGAAAAGAGTTGAATCAACTGATTTAAGAACTACTGTTAACCAAAAGAGACTGTTAAATTAACTGATAATAGCAGTAGAATTTACCTTACTAAACATTTAAAGTAACCTAGCGAGGCACGTTGATATAACTACCAAAAAGTAAAATCTACCTTACTAAACAGTTAAAGTAGCCTAGCGAGACACGCTGGTATAACTACCAAAAAGTAGAATCTACCTTACTGAACAGTTAAAGTAACGTAGCGCGACAAGTTGTTATAACTATCAACAAGTAGAAGCGACGATTGCGATAGGTTAAAGTAACTTAGGAAATAAGCAGAAACCAACTATTAAAAGGTTGATTCAACTGACATTAATGGTGATATAACCCTGCACTTTACGTAACTATACCCTTTTAATACGTTGATACAAGTAGATCACTTCACCGGTTGATGTAACCCTGAAACGGTAGCATCTACTGTTTTGATGTAACTGATTTGAAGTAGTTGTATTAACGAAGATAAAGGTAGGTGCCATAATAACCTAGTCAAGCAGTTAAAATACATGTTTTTTCGGTAGTTTTAACCTACTATTTTTCTCAGTGTAATCGTTTTCGCCTCTGATGCATATTGGCCGGTGCAGCTGTATGTCTTCTTATAGGTGCTTTTGTCATCTTGCTTGTTAATGGAATGAAGCTTCATCCAGACGAGCACTTTATATATGTTCATTAGCCAAACTGCAAATCCTCATCTTGTTCGCAAACCCTTAACGGTCAACAACCCATTAAGAGCAATAATCGTTAGCAGCAACGAGACGAGGTTAATACCCCTTTAGTAGCTCAGCTTTGAGTTTAACGACCTGCAATAGCAGCAGAGAGCAATACCCTTTTAGTCATCACGTCGATTGAGTGATGGCCAGACATTCCTGCTCACTATATTCACCATTGCCATATATTGCTTCATGTTCTGCGTCAAATACTAACGCTGAAAACTTTTGCTTGAGCCGTTCTACCGCTGTTACAAAATCTCTCGCCTTCATCCACGATTGCTCAGCATACTCTAGCCATGCCATGATTATTTGATATACACGACGAGCGGGCTATATAATCACTGCGCCCCATTATGCAATTAGCGGAGATCAAAACCATTAAGCTAAAGGGTTTTAGAACAGACAACGAGGTCAATAACCTTTTTATCAAAAGGTCATTCCCCCCGGACAATAAAGTTAATGACCTTCACAGCTCAAGGTCATATTTAGAATCGGCCCTACCTTACTACTAACAACCGAGTGGTTTATAAAAATTACTTGCTTTGAAGGCATTTTTCAAATGCGGACAGATATGAGATAAGTATGAGTCAACTTATGAAACTTAAAACGTTCGTTTAGTATAGAAATGGTATAGAGGCGTTGAGTGAAACTTTAGCTATAATGAAACGTTTCATTCGAACGGTAGAAATATAATTCGAATTTTTTATACCGGTGCTTGTGCGTAATATTTTTTTAATACGTAATTTAATTTGTTACCTGAATTATATCCATATTGCTTGCAATACACAATATATGGACCTACCTCACCTACCTATTGCATTCATATACGAACAAGCACTTTTATTAACATTTTAGAAAGAGCAAAGAAGTAAACATCACACTTCATTCACGATTATAATTAATAAGTAATAATTGTATTTGGATACTTACTGACAGTAAACGCTGCAAATGAAGACGGCGCCGACGGTGGTAACGTAACAATAGGTACTTTAACACCAACAATGTGCAAAATGGACACTCGCGTCAAGACGGAGACTGATGGTACAATGGCGTATGAAATGCAACTTTGCAACTTAGCACATATCAAAATGCGTCGACATTTTCTTAATACATTATGTCATTCCCTTAGCTAAGTATTTTTTTGTTTGTAGTATTCGAAGCATCTCATGTTGCTAAAGAGATTATTACCAGAAGACAACTATTATTTGTACTGAATACGCTCAACTTTTACAAATTAGGCAGTAGTTAGTAATATACGTTTTAATTGTCACAATAATAAAATATATTAACTAAAGTTTAGTAAATAAATATTTGTCTTTAGTATGTGACAATATTTGTAAGTATTAATAAAGATATGTGATATAAATGTATATTTTGAAATACCGCTGGTTTGTTGTCAGACATTGCTGCAATTATTATAGTAATAATGTGTACATTTATTGTAACTAAATATTCAATTTCCACAACTACATAAACTTTAAATAAAAAGTCTAATTGTGCCATTTTTCTCAGTGTAGTAGCCGTTAATGACATTCCTGTACAACAACATCCAGGGAATCGAAATATGCAAAATAATATCACAAGATTAAACATAATAAACAATCATTTTGCACATATGCAATAATTGGGAGTATTTAATAAGTATTTATAAGTTTAAAACAATGTTTACTGGTACAATATAAATATATACAAATAATATTATTTAGCGAGTCGTTTTTGTAATAGCTTTAATTCCAGTTTCGAAATTTCCAATCTAACTGCTTTTTCCTCTATTTCTAATTCCAGTTTTTTTTTGTTCAATGCTTGTTCCTTTTTCAAGCCTTCGATTTGGAGTCGAACCAATTCTTCTTTGCTATCAGCAAGTCGAGACCATTTTTCGTTAGTGACTGTGCCTGTCACGGGGCGTTTACGTTTGAAATCTGCAATAATAGAGCATTTATTAGTCATTAACCTAACACACATACATGCTTTACAAAATTTCATTAATAAAAACAAAAAAGTTATCAAGACGTTAATGGATTAACTCACCACTGACTGCTTTTTTACCATTTGAATGAGATGCACTGCGATTCTCTACAGGTGCACTATTTTGTGCAAAAGCTGCACCATTTATTCGTTCTGCAGTTTCGGATTCCTATAAAATGAGTTTCATTGTTACAGGTAACTGGCCAAACTATAGGTAATAACTAATATTTATATTGATTTATTAAAGAGTGTTTTCTATTTAATCGAGTTTTCATGTAAAACGCGTTTAGTTAACCGAGAGTTTTGATATAAAAAAGCAAAGAAAATAATATGTTCTATTTAGTAAATGAAATTAAATTACCATCGGCGTTACATGCTGATCCTCACTAATTACCAGCTGTGGAGCCCGTGGTGATTGTAGCATAGATGGTGTGTAATCATCCCATATCCTGCTTTGTTTGGAATTTTCCATACACGAATCTATCTAATAAAAAATAATGTTTTATATAAATAACTAATAAAGTCAACAAACCTTGAGTTACTATAACTACAGTGTCCGAATCTACTACTGCAGGCAGTCCGGTAGCATGTGTTGACAATATTTCTAAAACATCACTATCGATCTTCGTGTCAACACATCCACCTCCACCAGTTCCAAGAACATAGTTTTTTCTGCTGCATACTGCTGTTTTGTCAGTTTTTTAATATTGTCCCATTTTTTCTTTAATACTGCAGTAGATCGTACACCAGCTCCACTTTGTGCATTGAACACCGTAGTTAAATCATCCCAGCACTGATTTTTTTGTTTAAGGCTAACAGTGTCCGATTTTTTGCACTCCAACACGTGTCTCCTTTCTTTTACGAGCTCTTTCAATAATGCTACCTCACCATTACTGAAGTTAGCTGATCGTTTTTGAGGTATATCGACCTATAAAAATGTTTACATAATATAAGTAAAAATAGAGCAAGAATCGCTAAAGTACTTACGTTTGAACATGATGATGTCCCGGCCATTATCAACAAGTCACAGTTAAATTTGTCAGAAACCAACTAAATACACCTCGAAATACACTTATTTAACATGTGAAATGTGCACGTAAAATAAGGTTATAAAATGCATCAGCTGTTATTTACAAATAATTACCGCGCAAGCGTACACACGCAATCAGAATAGCCAACATTAACATCTACCGCTCATTCCTCCCTTAACTAAGACTACGTTACACGGTGACCTAACGCCTGAGTTATAACTCCTAATTTTAGTAAAACCGGAGTTATGCGTCGTGTAAATAGTCATATAAACTGGTTTTATAACGTCGGTTTTATAACTCTACACCGCTCGTGGCACAGGCGTGACGTTATAAAGCCGGTGTTATTATGCGTGTAAACTACGAGTTTTATAAATCCTATTTGCTAGTGCTACAGCGCCGGATTAAGCTAAAATGCGCCCAGGGGCATTTTCATAGACGCGCCCCACACGCACACCCATCTCCCAACTCACCTAACCATGCATAGTACCTTTATAAAAAAATTAATACAGCGAAAATATTTAAATTTATATTTCTTTGCACGTTTATTGTGATAGGGGAGTAATAAACAAGTTATCAATTACACAATCACAAGATCGTAAATTTTTATTGAAAACATCACAAATCATCCAAAATCATACATTAAACTACTTTTCTCTTTTTGTTTGACAAAAATCTTTCTATTATCACATCAGTATCTAAACTAGTCATTATTTCACTTTCTATAGATAGTAAGGACAAATTAGTAGTTTTATCTTGACTCATGCTATTTCTTAAGTAATTTTTTATCCGTTTAAGGACCGAGAACGATCTTTCGGCAGTGACATTCGTGCAGGGCAAAGTTAATAAAATTCTTAAAGCGACGTCAATATTAGGAAACGTCGCAACTAAGTTTTCTTTCCTAATGAGGGGCAACATATCAAAGATATTAACAGCACTAGAATCAACGCAAACAGATTGAATAAAATATTTAAAATGAACACACTCTTCTGGAAAATTACTATCCAAATCGGATTTGTAAATATCAAGTAATTTGGCAGACATTTCCCGGATAGATGAATCCGTGAGCGTGGTTAAATTTTTTAGGAAATCAAACGGAGCAGTGACACCATTGTATGCTTTCTTTCTTTTATCCAGTTCCGAGACAAGTTTATCGATTATAACATAATAAACATTATACAGCATATGTTCTTTTCCTGTGAAAACGATTTCATTCATTTTGGATTCATCTGGACGGGATTTTCTCATCTTGGGCCTTTTTGTGTCCGCTTCATAGATGCAATCTCCGCACAAAGCTTCAGCATTTTTCTCAAACATTTCGAAACTTTCAATATTTCTGAGTGAGGTTATATATTTTATCAAAGAGTCATATAAATTTAGTACTGTTGTAATATTTAATATTTCTTTTTGCAGCGTTTTATTGGTACTGTTAATTTTAGTTAGCAATTCGTCCCAAAAGCAAATCATAAAACAGGTTTCAAACTTCTTTAAATTTTTTAATATTCCAGATGCTTGTACTCCCACTCGAGGATTGTGACCGTTATCGCCATTTATGATCTCCAAAGCTTTAATAATTTCGTGAAATCCTTCATGCAGAGCCTTGCTAGCATCAGCTCGAGCAGACCATCTTGTAGTTGAGAGTTGCTTTGGCACATTCTTAGGATTATCTTTATTTTCGCGAAGACAGTTTTTCAAAATCGTCCACCGTGCTGTCGAAGAAGAAAAAAAAACATAAACTTCGGTGACCACCATAAAAAAATTAACACCAAATGAGCACGATTCGGCAGCACTTTTACCAACCAAATTTAAAGAATGGGCTGCACAGGGAATGAAGAATACCAAATCGTTCAACTCTTTTATGCGTGCTTGTAGTCCACTATATGGACCAGACATATTGGCCGCATTATCGTATGACTGGCCTCTACAGTCCTTGATATCCAGAGAAAATGAATTTAAAGTTTCCAAGGCAGCTTTCTCCATTTCGGCAGCTTTATGACCAACGTTCCCTAGAAATGTTAAGAAGCGTTCTACGATCGTGCCAGATTCCGAAATATACCGTACTACAAAGCTTAGCTGGTCGGTGTGTGAAACGTCCGGAGTGGAATCAATGATAATGGAATAATACTTTGACTATTCAATTCATCTAACATTTGTCACATTTCAACCAGTGAAATGTCTCGATTTCAAATTGCTGCGCCAATGGGAACGAATTATAGTGATAATTGCACGTGTGGTATTTCAGCGACAATTGAATGCGATTATTCAATGACATTTGTCAAACTTCCACCAGTGAAATGACGCGAAATTTTGTCGTATTAATCGGAACATTCTTCTTAGTTTGTTAATCAATTTCGACAACCGACTTATCACCACATCTTTTAATTTAATCACTCATAACGAATTAGCTTGGAGCACAAAAGTTCGAATAGAATCAATAGCAAAATGAAAAGCAACTTCCATAATTTATTTTGACGTTTATTGTTGTCATGGAAATACATTCGCGTGGGTAATTATGCTTAATTTTTCTTTTGATTCATTGAATAGTCCTCCGAATACCATTCGTAGTCGAAGTATTTGTAGATTATTTTTGAGCTGCTGCTCCACTCATGCTAGTTACGCTTTTTAATACCACTCGCGCAAGCGCTCGTGGTATTAATCAGCGTAACTAGCATTCGTGACAGCACCTCAAAAATATTCGACAATACTTCGACTACTTATGGTATTATATATGACAATTTTATTTCTGATACAATTTTTTCCTGCACCATTGTGGTTAGAAGGTCGATAATTTCGTTGCATATGGTTTTCGATATGTATGAGACGTTACCTCTTCCCTTATTACTTTTGGATTCTAGATGTGTCTTTAGAAAAGGGTCAAATTTTGACAATAGTTCCAATGCAGATAAAAAATTTCCACTACTGCTTTCGCCTAACTTTTCAACAGTGCCACGTAATGCTAAGCCTTGTTTCGTCAAAAACTTGATAACTTCCACAATCCTTTGTAACACGTTTTTCCAATATTGCCTTTCTTCTGAATATTGCTTTTCAACAGCACTATCCACCCTACTCGATAAAGTAGCGCGACTTACATATACTTTTACACTGTGTCTGTGCTCTTCACAACGTTCGTGTTCACCAAGCCTTTCTGCGTGTTTCCAGTCATTCCAGCCATTTACATAAAACGAGTCTCGCGAAGTACTACATAATGTGCAATGCAAACAAAAAACTTTATAAATGGAGGCGGAGTAAAGTAACCAGTCTCGACGAATTGTTTCTCCATTAATATGTTTTGTAAAAAATAAATCTTTTGAAGCGTATCTAGCCGTTGTAGAATATTGCCGTTTCGATTTCTTAAAGTCAAAGTAATCTAAATTTTGTTTTGGTGGGTGTCGCAATATTCCTTCTATGAATTCATTATTATTTAATTTTAAATTCCATGTAGCCGGATCATCTACTACTATAGTACTATTTTCTAATACGGTTTCATACGGAAATATGTTTTCGGAACTCTCAGTTTCAGAATCATTTTTTGTATGATCTTGATCCGCTGCGAAATACCCATGCTAAGTATAATAAACAAATAGGAAAAAGACATACCTTTTAAATGAGTTTGATCTACACCAACTTCGACTACATTATCAGGATTATTAGCAGCAGCATCATCTCCCAGGATGGCTGCTGTAGATGTTGAATTTGAAGGAGCCCCTGCATCCTCGTTTGAAAAGAAAGCACTTAATGTAGGCACTTTAACAAGAAATTTTTCTAATTTATCACGTTTGTCTTTTGCAAGTTTACGCCGTTTAGCACCACTCATATTATGCAAACTCATTTCGCTAGCCGTTGATTTAGCTCGGATTATATGTCTATAAATTTAGAACTTTTAGAACCAAATTATAATTCCACGACTGTACCGGTACGCGTTAAAACTTTAAAAGAACGAAAAGGACGAATTGGTTGCCTTGCCATGTAGAGTGATGTGATGTAGGACTTATAAAATAATTCTAACTCGCTGTGTAAGAAGAAAATCGAATGTTTTGCTGATTTCGTCGGTCATTTTCAAAACAAAGGCGCATTCATTAGCGTCTGGCGACATTTGATACATAATACGTGTTATTTTTTATAAATGTGTCATGTATGTGTGCTGAGCGTGCGAGACTAGTCAGTACTTCAGTAGCCAGGTTTAAATTTCAAGTTTAATGTTTAATAAGAATTGAAAATTGATATGACTGATATGAGGCATTTAAATGTTTATTAGCTACCTAATATAGTTAACACTATTTGTTCCAATCCAAATGTTGCGCCCCTTTTCAAAATGCGCCCTGGGGCAAGTGCCCCATTGTTAATCCGGCGCTGTAGTGCTACCAACTGCGATTGCAGTCAGGCAGGCGGGAAAACTGCAAAATATCATAACCTAACAAACTTACCTTACCTTCACAAATCGTATGTGATTTGTGCTTACCTTCTATTTACGAAATTGGTTGAAAATGTGCTCGAATAAAAATAAGCGCGATGCATGGGAAGTAGAAGAAACTCGTTACTTTTTACGACTGGTTAACGAGAAAAAAATTATAAGATGTTTAGATGGGAAAAAATTTAGAGCACTGGAAGTGTTTGAACAATTGGTGGAGCCTATGCATAACTCTGGTTATTTAAAAACCGCAAAACAAATGCAAACCAGGTTCAAAACATTAAAGAGTAAGTATAGGATTTACCAATGCATTTTATAGTCAACCCAAGTACTACGTGAAGTATACACACGGAGTAATCAGAGTTTTCAGTAACTGTAATGCCCAGGCATTTTATGATACTTATTTCTTATAGTGCAATACAACCAATGTAAACGAGATCTAACAAAAAGTGGAGAAGGAAATTCCAGGCCTCACTTTCCATACTTCGATGAAATGGAAGTATTATTAAGCAATCGTCCAATTGCAAACCTTGATGGTGTTGATTCTGCTTCGTCTACATCTACCCAAGGTAAATTCCGATTGTTGCCGGTACGATTCGCTAACAGAACGTGCATATACTTAGTTACATTAAAAGTCAAAGTTTTTTCGTGGTGATACCGCAAAATGTCGCTCCCGGAACATATTGGTCCGTGTTGTATAATGTAAATTAACCTTATGACTTGTTCTTAAGAGTCCAATTCTTCACAGGTACAAATGAAGAGGAAACGGAACTTGATGACACATTGGTAGAACCAACATCACCAAGTAATGAAAGTGTGACCGAGGAACCAGAACTTCAAACCCCACCTTCAAAAAGGTTGAGAATTGCTGAAAGAACGGGCAGGAAATCTGATCAACAATGTTTAAGTAATTTTGCGGAAACATCTAAGAAAAATGCAATGGAACTTCAAAATGACTTGCTTAAAACACAGTTAGCCCAGATGAATGAACAGTTTGCAAAACAAAGGGAATTTGAAATGTGTTCATGGAGCACGAAAAGGAAGTGGTTCAAGAAGCAACTACTACATTATTACATGGCTTCAGAAACATTTTCAGTCCTTACATAATGAATATGCCATCAACAAGTCGCGGACCAATTCCTCAACAGCATGTTCAAGGGTGTCTGTGTGTACAATGCACCAATGCATATCAATAAAATAAATTTCATATATTTATTGAATAATACTATAATATACGTGTGCAATATTAATTAGGAATAAAGAGTTTTGCGAAGCGGAAAATTTACTTCGAGATAATCTGCAATTGCATTTCTAATTTGATGTCCTGTTAAATTTTGCCGTTCACGAATTACATTAGCATTGGGCTGAGGGAAAGTAAGTTCTGCTTCTTCTACTGCTGTTGTCCATTGTGCTACAAATGATTCCTTTTTTGATTCCACGATATTGTGTAGAATACAACATGTAGTTACAAGATGTGGTACGAAGGTGTAATGTACATCAAGTCGCTTTAAAAGGCATCTCCAACGAGATTTCAATCGTCCAAATGCAATTTCTACACTAACTCGGCCACCATTTAAATGTACATTAAATGATTCCTCCTTTGGGGACAGTTTTGCTGATTTTGTATACCCTTTTATCAGCCACGGTAATAAAGGATATGCAGGATCTCCCATTATCATGTAGGGAATTTGTACACCCTTAATAAGTTTCAATTTCTGTAAAACAGATTCATTTACGTGTGTTGAGACTTTAAAAGTGTTTACCTTTGGAATTAAAGCATCACAATCATTAAATAAGGCGGACTGTCGAAAGACTGCGGCATCGTGACATGATCCTGGGGCTTTGCAATTAATATTGCGAAACCTAGAATGCAAGTAGATAAAATTATTCTTGACTAATATACAAATAAACAGACCGAAAAGTATGATCAACAACTGCTTGCAGTATAATTACACGATCAAACGAACTCACCTGTGAAGTTCGATCGTAATTATATGAGACATCCAATCCGAAGACATTTATAGAATACTAAGTAGTTCGCCTCGCTCGAACTCCAGCCACGAGTTTAAAAGTACTTATATAATTTAAAAAGAAAAACTTTTTACCCCCAATTACCCTAAACGGTCTCCGCCACTGTCGTGATGTCAGTCCCCGTTAGGAATGAGTATCTAACCTCATTTAGTTCAAAGATAAATCAACTGGTAAACCCTTCGAAAATGTGCTGGAAAACGACAGGAGTGGGGGGGTGGGTTTGAATGTCTTCGGATTGGATGTCTCATATAATTACGATCGAACTTCACAGGTGAGTTCGTTTGATCGTGTAATTATAATTCGACATCCAATCCGAAGACATTTATAGAATACTAAGTAGATGTTTAGAGACAGTGGTTTTCCACATGAACCCAGATAAAAAACAAATAACAGTCGAAGGGTACTATCACTATCATATAATTCAAAAAAGAAAACTAAAAGCTATGGTGAAACAATAATCTTAAATGAAATATCCACATAATGTCAACATCTGACTAACATAAGTGTTATTCTCTATAATAGAAGATGTATTATATATACATTATAATGATAATATGGCTTTTGATAGTGTGCCAACCTGAGAAATAGGTCTGTTATAAAACTGACAGAAGGTTTTCGAGTTTGTTGACCACCCCGCTGTTTGCCGAATTACTTCTAATGGTACACCTAAATCAAAGGCTTTAGATGTCGAAGCATGGCGAGTGGAGTGAGCCTTAAAGATTCTCGTATCTATACCTGCTTCTTCCAACGTATCCTTCACCCATCTACTAAGGGACTGCTTGCTTGCAGTGCGGTACGGTTTCTTATAGGTTAAAAATAGGAAGTCTCTAACTGACGTGCGCCTTCCCTTGGTAGCAGTCAAATATTGTTTTAGAGCTGTAGCGACACAAAGCTTTGGGTTTTCTGTAAAGTATGGAAGGTGTAGACACGGTTGGGTTCTACCTATCCCTGATGTCTTGATCTTATCTTCAATCAAAATTTGAAATCCGTTTCCCGATTCTATAATATTCTCTATTCGAATTAACGAAAAAGTTTGTATTCGGTGAGCAGTTGTAAGTGCTAAAAGAGTTATTAGCTTCTCGGACAATGCTTTTAACGAATCCATTGCGAGCCGCTCCAAGTACGCTAAAACTACTTGTGGGTCCCACACTACATTGTATCTGGGTCTTGACGGTCGAAGTTTTGCTATACCCTTTAAAAATCTGCATAAGACTGGATGACTCGACAAATCTGTTGACGTGATCAGCGATAGTGCTGAGCGATGAGAATTAAATGTTCCGTAGGCATTTTCTTCCGTATCAAAAAGATGTTGTAAAAAACTCATCACTAAAGAAGGTGTGCCCTCATACGGATTCACCCCCCTATCTGCACAGAAAGGTAACCAGCGTTTGTACGTTGCTCCATATTGTTTGACAGTTGCTTCGGACAGTGACTTAAGGATAGTTTCCACAACGTTATTCGGTAAGGACATCAACTTGAACGCCTCCCTGATAGTCTGGCTGCCAACAAAGAGAGCTTGTCCGCCAACGGGTGAGGTGATGGACTGTGAGGTAAAAACAACAAGTCATTAGTAGGCTTCAAATAAATAGGGTCTTGTACTAATAAATTCGAAAAAATTGGGAACCAAGGTTGATTTTCCCAATTTGGAACACTAAGAATGCCCTCGGCCTTATCATTAATTATTTTTTGTATTACTCTTAAAATTAGGGCAAAGGGGGGGAACGCATAGAAGTAAGAACCCTCCCAAGACCTCGTAAAAGCATCAATGTAAAGAGCCTGTGGGTCTTGAAACCAAGACACATAAACGTCACATTTATGATTATCTTTGGAAGCGAAGAGATCAATGTCAGGGACTCCCAGTCTTCGTGTCACAAGATCAAACGCCTCTGCTGACAGGCACCACTCTGTGTCTGACGGTAAGCTTCTTGATTCCAGATCAGCTTCCCAGTTTTCTTTAGAGCTTATATAGGAAGTCAACAGCCACAGGTCCTTTCCCTCACACCACTTCCAAAGTTTCTTTGCTAAAGCAGACAAGGCTGGGTGTTGCACACTACCCATTCTATTGACATAAGATACTGCAGTAGTATTATCACACCTTAGTAAAATGTTACTGTGAGAGATGGAACCCGCAAAATGTTTGACCCCAAAAAAGATTGCCAAGAGTTCCAAAAAATTAATGTGAAATAATTTTTCCTCAGCAGTCCACCACCCTCGAATCTTGTTATTCCCACAACAAGCCCCCCAACCTGTCAGTGAAGCGTCTGTAAAAATTTCTAACTCAAACCGATCTTTAATAATATCATTATAAGCTAAGTCGATTGACTTTAACCACCATTCAAAATCTGGTTTAAGCTCTAAAGGGAGAGTAACTGAAGCAGAGTAACACAAGTTATTTTTAACCAGAGCTAAAAACTTATGTCGCTCAAAAAGTTTGGTGTACATCCACCCATACTTAACTCCCTGGCAAACTGAAATCAAGTAGCCTATGTACTGAGCTAGATCACGTATTTTGCAACGTCGTTTATTTAAGAAATACCTAGTTCGCCTTTTTATAAGCTCTTTTTTCTCTGCAGGTACTGAAATTCTAAGCTGTTTAGAATCAAGGATGAAACCTAGAAACCTAACGTAATTGTTAGGGGTTAAATGACTCTTTTCAAAGTTGATTGTAAAACCTAGGGACTGCAAGAATTCTACTGTAAAAATGGTGGACTTCTGACAACCTTCCAATGTAGAATCCACAATTAGCAGGTCGTCTAAGTAACATACACATGTGATATTCCTGGTTCGCACCCAATGAGTTACTGGTTTCATCAACTTAGTAAAGACATAAGGCGCTGATGACAAACCAAAAGGTAAACACGTAAACTGGTACAAGACATTGTCATACTCAAACCTTAAAAACTTTCTATGATCTGGGTGGATATTTACGTGGAAATAAGCATCTTTCAGGTCAATTAAAGTAAAAAAACAATCCTTTTTAATGAGTCTCAATGCAGTGCGAATGTCTTCCATTTTAAAATGAGGCACTTCTAAATACGTATTTAAATACTTAAGATTTAAAATAAAACGTTTTTGTCCATTTGGTTTGTCTACTAAAAAAATATTAGAGATGTATTGACCCTGGCAAGGCGAGCATTTAGATATTGCTCCTTGGTTCAACAACTTGTTGATTTCATATGAGAATGCCTTCCTTTCTGCTAAAGAGAGAGCTTTAATTTTAGGGAAAGTAAATTGTACAGGTGAAGAAGAAAAGGGGAGGCTGTAACCCTTAATCCATTGAAGAATGACCAGGTTATCAGTTATCTGCCACCCATACTTGATCAGATGGAAGTGCAACACCAGCAGTCACTAGTACCAGTAACTGTTCTTAAAACTCGAATTAGACGAAAAAGATCAACACCTGCTACCTGGAATTGTAATATAAATAAAACTAAACGTTCAAAGGGATTACCATACCAAGGAAAAAAGAAAATAGGGAATACTTGGAACTACCAAATGAACAAACCAGGTAAATTTTTTATCATTTTAAATTACTAATTTTGTTTTGACAATAATATATTATTACTCACAGATTTTTTATTAATTTTTTTTTATTTTCAGGAAAATTTTTGCAAAATCCTTGTGGGTGTACACTCGGCAAAAAAAAATCTACTATTCAATGTGACAAATTAACAGAAGAAGAACGAATTCTCATATTTAGAACATTCTGGAACAAACTAAATTGGGCGGAACGAAAGATGCACGTAAAGACCTTAGTCGAAGTTCACGGTGTCAAAAGAAGAAGGGGAGAGCAAGAAATATTATCCAAAAGAAATTTTTCTATGAAATACTTTCTAAAATTCGACACCAAGAAAGTTAGAGTTTGCAAAAGAATGTTTGGGGGGACATTGGGGTTAAAGGAAACAATGGTTTTAAATTGGGTAAAAGATGTGGACAATCAGAATGTCAATTTTGAATCTCCTGAAGTTAATCCAAAAAGTGAAATAAGAAAGATTAAATTTGCTGAAAAGAACGCCGGCATTTGCGAATTTTTAAATATGCTACCAAAACTCGAAAGTCACTATTGCCGAGCATCTTCAAAAAAACAATACCTTGAACCTCTTTGGCGGTCACGTGCTGAGTTATATAAATTTTATAAAACTGAATTTTGTGTCGAGCATAATTTGGCACCAGCAAGTACAACTCTGTTTTTTAATAAATTTGAGGAGCTAAACCTATCACTCTATAAACCAAAAAAAGATTTGTGTGATTCCTGTGAAGCATTCAAAACAAAAAATTTATCAGAGACAGATTATACCTTGCACCAGACTTTAAAAAAAGATGCGCGTCAAGAAAAAGAAAATGACAAAACAAAGACTGAAGCTACAGTAAATGTCTATACAATGGACTTGGAGTGCGTATTATTGTCCCCGAAATCAACAGTATCTTCTATGTACTATAAGACAAAACTTATAGTACATAATTTCACCATTTTCAACTTAAAAACCAAAGAAGGTTTCTGCTATCTTTGGAACGAAAGTGAAGGGGGGATAACGGCGAATGAATTTTCGTCAATTCTTTCCTATTTCGTGGAACAAGAAGTAAAAAATAAAAATCCAAGCGAAATGATTTTTTACAGCGATGGGTGTACAGGGCAAAATCGAAACGCCATACTGGCCAATGCATTCCTAAATGCAGCAATTCAAAATAATATTATTATAACACAGAAATATTTGCTTAAAGGACACACACAGATGGAGGTGGATGCAATGCATTCTGCCATAGAACGTCAAATTCGCGACCGTAAAATAAATCTCCCTGCAGATTATGTGGGCTATTGTCAAAAGGCTAGATCGGTTCCTTTTCCGTATTCAGCAAAATACATTGATTACTCCTTTTTTAAGAATTTTGAAGGTTTAAAATTTTATTCATCCATACGCCCTGGAAGAACCGTTGGCGATCCCGTTGTTACGGACCTAAAAGCCCTAAGATATTTGCCCAACTGTGAAATAATGTTTAAATTAAGACACACAGATACATGGAATGTCCTGAACCAAAGACTTAACAAAAAAATTATTTCATGTAAATTTGTGGATTTGCCAGTCCTGTACAATGAACGTCGAAAAATCAAGAAAGAAAAGTACGACCACTTACAAGCTTTAAAATCGACTATATTACCTGATTATCATAAATTTTACGATGACTTGTTATACGAGTGAATTTTTTAGTTTAAGGATCTATTAATGTAGATTTTAGTTTTGCAACCACTGTTTCGTTTGTTGTTATTAGGTAAGCGTTTTCAAAGAAATTTAATACTTTTTTATACCTAGTTACCTTCAAAATGATCTAGGATTCAGTTCATTTTTATTTTTTTAATAAATATTTAGTTTTTCTTTCAATTTTTAGATTCTTCTAGTAGTTTTTTTATAACTGGAAAAGCACCTATATCCAAAATTACACAGATTTTTTTGACGGAAAATCGCGTAACTCCATTTAATACTAGAAAACAATATTTTTTTAAGTTTTCCCTTTACATGGTAAAAACAAAGTATTTTTACTCATATTTAAGGTTTTAACAATTGTTTTATATTAAAAAAGGAAAATAGGAAACAGTTTTTCTTGTCTCCTGTAAAATTCCCCAAAATGGAGTTACGCGGTTTTCTCATTTGGCCGACGCGTAGTTGCTTAAATGGGTTTCTTTAACAGGTGCTTTCGTAAATCCGCCAGCAGCAGAAATCCCGCGCGGAAACAAAAGTAACGCCGGCGTGGTCGCGCAACGGTCAGTAGCCAGTCGACTTCGACGTAACGCAACAGGTTGTTTTGGTTAATTTTTTCAGTGACAGTGGCATTTTGAAATGTGCAGCAAATCTTTTAGTGATGAAGAAACTGAACTATTGATAGATTTAGTGAGAAAATATCCAGTGCTGTATAACTTAAGAGTCTTCTTTACCTAAGCACCACTTTTTTACATTATAGTGTATAGATGACTATAGCTGCAAGAGATAAGATGATATTCTTGCTTTGTCAACTCCTGTCTTGGTCCTTAGTTAGTTCCCACCGACACTGTGCAGCGGCGCCACTTGTTACACTCAAATTGTTGATTTAACGCCCGCCAAGATAGACTTTATTTACAAAAATGATGATTTCATTTTTTGGGGTCATGTTTAGAAGTAACTTATCTAAAAAACTGTCGGTTTACTTTTTCCATAAATCGTCTTGATCGAGAGTAAAAAAATAAAACAGATTAGCGCAATAATCGGTGCGAAACACCTAATCTTTAAACAATCGGTATTAAGTTGCTATAAACATTAAAAAAAAATAGTCCGAACATTTTGTAGATAAAGGTCTAAATTTATAAAATAGTTCTTAAAAAACATGGTTTTTGGAAAAACAAATAGAGTTTTTATGGCGGGCGCTCTTATGGAAATTTACATTGGATGCCGTGGGTACAGAAGACTCTTAAAGGATAAAAATTATTTTAATAATACTATCAAGGAAAATGCATGGAATAAAAGTGGTAAGTAACTATCAAACATGTATTTTTAATTAGTTCTTGTAATATGATTCAATTGCCAAACCAATTGCCCTTCTCTACTACAGAAATAATTCTTAAAGTTATTTCTAACCTCAAAAGCTTCGAAGGTAGCATTTGCGCCAAATCTTGCCATCTGAATCATATTTTCCCTAGGTAGTACTACTAGATCATCTTCTAAATGTTTATCTTCTCCTGGGTACGGAATGCGTTCTTCGCGAAGTAAGTTGTGAAGGATGCATGCCCCAGTTACCAAATAATCCGCTACTTCTGGTGCGATGGCAATTGGTGTATAAAAAACGCGGAAATATAGGCACATAATACCAAATGCATTTTCACTTGTTCTACGAGCTCTGCTGTGACGGTAATTGTATATCGCTTTTTTCTGATCAGCATTAGATTGCTCCTTACGATAAGGTCTCATCATGTGGGCAGTTAATTTAAATGCTTCATCCCCTAAAATAACAAATGGCATTGGAACTCCATTTTCGGTTATTTCCTTTGCGGAAGGGAATGGGAATAAGTTTTCTGTTATACACTTTTCCATCTCTGATTTTGAAAATAGTTCCGCGTCACCTTCTTTCCCATATCCACCTACATCTATTGCCAAAAATTTGTAGTTTGCATCTACAAGGGCCAATAATACTTGCAGAGAGCCGGTATTATTAGGGCAAACCATTCGTATATGCTTACCATCAATGGAAGCACAACAGTTTGGATAGTTCCATTTTGCCCTATAACTTTGCGCAGATTTTTCCAGTATCTCTGCGTTTGGCTTTGGTATAGTAATGTGTAGTAAGTTATCACATATTGCTTTTAACACTTCTCTTACTATAGTAGATATCCAACTGTTTGAAATTCGATAAGTGAATGCCAATGATCGAAAACTTTCTCCTGTTGCCAAGTATCTGAAATTATATCATTTAATTATTTTGCATTACAGTAACCGATTGCAAGACAAGATGGAAAACCGTCAGGGATTCATTTCGAAAAAACAACAAGAAAGCTGGATCAGGATCGGCGGCAACGTCAAAGTCTAAATATGTAACAGAGAAGCTGAGTTTTCTGAATTGCGTAGAAGCTCATAGGCCGTAAGTCCTTTGGCATTAGGTAAGCAAATTCTTAATAAAGATATTATAGAACAAAAAGCAGCATAGAGGATGATGAACCATTAATAGAACCCACCGAAGAAGTTAATTCCGAGGAAGTACCCCAAGCTGAAACATCGACCGATACTACTGTATCAGTACAGATTGAAGAGGCGTCTCGTTTTTCGGAGAATAAAATCATGACTATGAAGCGAAAACCGCGCTCTGATGGTTTAGCAGAAGAAATAAAGAAAAGCAGACTTCAAAGGGAAAAAATTATGGAAAAACTGTTACACCAACCAGATACCAATACGCATCCCATTGATACATTTTTTTCAAAGTATAGCAGCCACGGTGAAGACCTTACCTCAACATTAATCGTTGAAGCAAAATTAGCTGTTAATAAAGTAATCACAGATCTCGAGCTCAGAGCTATTAATCAACATAATGTCAGACGTGATTTCTGTCTATCGGATTATTCCACCTCGTCTTGTTCCTCTGCTCAATTACTCAGCCCCGTAAGCGAAGAATTGGAATATACGGAACTATAAACCAATATTTGAAAAGGTCCCTTATTTTTTCAATATATAATGTAATAATATATAATATAAAACAAATTGTTGTATTCTTACCTCAGAGTTAGGCAAAGTTTCTCTTCAGGGGTTATTGGTTTGGGAACACGGTTACATGGTTGCTTCTCAATATCGTTTTTTATGTGAAATAGAATATAATTGTATATACTCCTTGAAACTCTAAAATACTCCCGAAACTTTCGCTCATCCCCATTCAGGTATTTTTTAACCAATAATGTGTATTGTCCCTCTTCAGTTCTCTTTCTAAACATTTGATGTCCAGAATTACGTTTCGTGTAAGATTCGGCGATCATCAACTCTTCGTTAATTTCTTCAAGAATTGTGTATAATATCGCATTATTTTTATTTATATCCATCATTTCACTCCAATACCTTTATTTACTTTGCGACTACTAGGAAAGCACTAAAGACGTAACGTGATCGTCTTCCGATCGCACTCACCGACCCGTCGTGACGTAACACTGCGCGCGCGACCCGCGTTCCGCTACCTTGGAAAGCGTACCTTTAATTTATCGTCCTCTGTACCAGGTAAAGACGTAATCGAATTACGCCGACGTTGCCGAGAGGAAGTCGAAAAAAGAGACGAAGATCGCGCGTGGCGACTAGCAAGCGACCAATCTCCGCGCCCCGCACGGGAGCGCGAGCGAGATCGACGACGTCGTTTATATTATCCTCGCCATTAGAGATTGCCGGTACGTCATAGTTCACAATCGTATGGTTTAATATGAAAAATATGAGTCAAATTACTTCCGTAATAATGCCAACTTGATTAGCAAATATACTCCGAGATGGCGACAGCTGTCATTTATTGGATGTTTATTTGAAGGTGCAAAACTGTCAAATCGCAGAAAGTATCGTTAGTCGATTTTGGTTTTTAATTATGGTATAAAATATAACATAATAAAGACGGTGAGAAAACAAAATCCTTGTAATCTAACAGGTCATTAATGCGTTATTTTTACAGGGCATATGGTAAGATAAACCCATTGTTGTAAGCTGCCTCATTACAATGGAATTTTTCCAAAAATGTGAACATTTAGTAATTACGCTACGTCAGAATTCTTACAATAGTCGGGTCTTGCATTCATAAGTGAGTTTGCCGATAAAGAATTATAAATTCACAATTAGAGCATTCAATTTATAGGTTATACGATTTTCATACACCCAGCTGCACATTGCAAGACTACCACTTTTCAAAGTTACTCACTGTTACTTATGATGGCTTACAATAAGGATAAATTCAAAATGATACACTAAATGGATATTATAATTGAGGAGCAGACTTGCAAAACGCGTTTTGTCCAAAATTGTAAATTTTCAGGAATGACAAAAAACTACTACGTACAATACGAGTTACTTACGGACTTGCGTTTGGTATTAAAAAATCTATTAAAAATAGCATGAGAAATTACTAAATTTGCAGACTGGAAAAAGCCAAAGTGGCTTTACTATTTCAAAAAAACTGTTGGACAAAATGCTATTTGCAGGTCACTAGTTGACAAACAGCATTTTGATTGTCCATCCAACAGATCACTGGGTATAATAAATTTGGAAATGAAACAAACATATTGTCGATAACGTTTACTTGTATTATTTACAAACTTTAAATGAAATTAACCTCTTCCATGTCGTTACATTCACATTCTTCATTTGCTTCTATTTCCCCATCTTCACGTTGTTCTTCAAAAATTGGAACTAACCATGCCAGTTCTGGATCATTGTTCCACTTTTCTCCAGATAATGATTCTAATAATTTTTTTAAACTGTCTATTTTTTTTTTCTTTATCTGATGTCCCAAAGGTAGCCATGGCACGACTACCTGGTCGAATCGTGTGCGTGGTTTTAGTAAAGATTGGAATTTGTTTGTATCAGTGCGATAGAGTACTTCACTTTTCACTAAAATATTGTTGGCGGAAACATTCTTTTTAATAAAAAATCTTCGGCAAGAACTTATGCCATTCACTTTTTTGAGCCACTGCAGCATATTTTTTACATCAAGCAGATTC